ACTCTGTAGCCCAGGCTGGCCTTGAACTCACAGAGATCCGCCTGCCTCTGCCTCCCGAGTGCTGGGATTAAAGGTGTGCGCCACCACCGCCGCCCAGCCGTGCTGTTTCTTTAGGATGTAGTCTCTGTTTTCCGTTCTGGTCTAATCTTAATGGCATGGAAGGTGCTTTATGTCTGCATGTTTCTTTGAAGGTGGTCCTTGCTGGCTCCATAGGTAATGTGTAGAAGAGGTATTCGAGTAACCTATTGAGAGCAGTAGTGTTAGGTCCTCTTCTGGAGTGACAGTTTACATCAAGAGTTGGCATTTTCACTGATGTCCCCTTGATGCTCTTAGTATCTCTGCTGAAGACGAGTCGCCATCTTAGCCTCACAGCCAAGGCCACCTAATATAAATTGGAAGTGTATTTATTTTTAAAGTATTTATTATGCAGTTGAGTTGATAATTTGCCTCATAGAAAGTTGGAAAGTAGAACAAATTCTAACCCTGCCTTTTTGGAGGAGCTGTTTCCCAGTGTGTTTCTGCAGGAACACCTTCGTAGTTATGGTCAAAAGGTGGGCATCATTGGAATGCTGGTTTTATTTTTATTTATTTATATATTTTCTCATGTGATATTCTGACAAATAAAGCTTGCTTGGAGTCAGAGGGCAGAGCTAGCCACTAGTTAACCATAGAGGTCTGGAGGTCTGTACAGAGAGGAGACAGGGAATGATAAGGCGGGACAGAGGATCTAGACCTTTTTGGACCGAGGAATGGTAAAGGTAGGAAGCAACTGGCCGCTGCTCCGCTCCTTCTCTGATCTTTCAGGTTCTTACCCTGATATCTGACTCCTGGTTTTTATTGATAAGGTTAATTAGGTTTACACTTCATCTGATACCCAACTTGGGGTTTGAACCCACGAGCTTGGCATTAAGAGTCCCACGCTCTACCAACTGAGCTAGCTGGGCAGTTGGGACAGGAAATGTTGGGACAGGAAACATCCATTTACAATGTTTTAGTGATGTTTTTTAGTTTGTAATAAGATCTTACTGTGTGGTCCTATCTGGTCAGGAACCCACAGAGATCAGCTGCCTCTGTCCCCTAAGTGCTGGGATCAAAGATGTGCACTGCCCTCCCCAGCCTACTACCTGATTTTAATTTAAGCTGTAAACTTTTTTAGGTTCTTAGCTAATTTTCATGGTTTATTCAAAAGAATAATTGTCTAATGTGTCATTGAGTTTTTTGGGTTTTTTTTAAGGATTTGTTTATTTATTTATGAGTGCTCTATCTGCATGTATACCCTATGTCAGAAGAGGGCATCAGATCCCACTATAGATGGTTGTGAGCCACCATGTGGGTGCTGGGAACTGAACCCTGGTCCTCTGGAAGAGCAGCCAGTGCTCTTTACCACTGAGCCATCTCTCCAGCCCCGACATTGAGTTTTTTAAATCGTTGAGATTGTATTTACTTCCGGGGGTGGGGGTGGGGAGAGCACACCTGCACACCTTTAATCCCTGTACTGGGGAGGCAGAGGCAGAGGCAGGTGGATCTCTGAGTTTGGTCTACACAGTGAGTTCCAGGACCACCAGGGCTACACAGAGAAACCCTGCCTCTAGTAAACTAGCTAAATAAATAAAAGATTATATTTATTCTCATTCTTTAAATTATGTTTATGGAGTTTATTATTAGACAAGGGATCACTGGGGCCATTTTTTATGGGTTTTGAGAAATGTTGCAAAATGTTTTCTAAAAGTCCTGCTTAGTGTGTTTGATCCCTGCCAATGGGCAAAGGCCTCAGGTTGGCTTTACCTGCTCTAAAGGGTAATGTGTTTTCATTTTGATGTTTTAGAGGGAAGTCAAAACTTAACTTTAAATTTACATGTCTTTTTGGTTTTGTTTCTTTTTTTTTGTCTTTGTTTTTGTTTTTGAGGCAGGGTCTCACAGTGTAGCCCTGGCTGGCCTGGAACTCTTGTGCAGACCAGGGTGGCCTCAACTCAGAAATCTGCCCGCCTCCACTGGGAGTACTTAAATAGACAATTGCCACCACGCCTGGCTAAATTTACATGTCTTTGATTAAAGAGATTAAATATTTATTTCTTTATGTGAATTAGTCTATCTGCTTAAATTTATTAACTTTAAAACTTAAATATGATCGACAGCTTTTTTAGGAGTTAAAACTTAGTTCACTTACCTCAGTTATTTTATCATATCTAAGTACTTTTTTTGGTTTTTTTTTGAGACAGGGTTTCTCTGTGTAGTTTTTGGTGCCTGTCCTGGATCTCGCTCTGTAGACCAGGCTGGCCTCAAACTCAGAGACCTGCCTGGCTCTTCCTCCCAAGTGCTGGGATTAAAGATGTGCGCCACCACTGCCCGGCTTGTATCTGTTTCTAATCACCTGTGCCAGTTCACTGTTTGCCTCTTTCAGATAGCAGTATCTGAGGCTTTTATTTCTAGGACCCTGTCTTTAGTGCATTTGGAATTGCTGTTGAGCAGTGTTTTGAGGCGGAGACCTGCATGAACGAGGGCCATTTCCTCGTTAATGAAGTAACGCAGAGTGAGGTTGACTCCTCACTATTCAGTTTGCAGTGGCAAACTCACTGTGTTTTCTATCCATGGAGTCCTATTAGGCTTAGGGCTTTTCCCTAGTTTGGCCTTCTTCAAAATTTCATAGATCTTCTTTTTCTGTTTGTTTGGTTTTTGAGAAAGGGTTTGCCTGTTTCACATATCTTATCCTGTGGAAGCTGACCTTGAACTCACGGAGATCCACTTGGCTCTGCCTCCGGAGTGCTGGGATCGAAGGCGAGCCCACCTGCGGCTGCTTTCTGTTTCCTTAGCAGGCGTGGTCTCCACTCCCTCCACCCTCAGCCCTCACTCCCCTGCCTCTGTCACGTGATGAGCAGGGCTACAGTTTAACTCTGTTCCTTTGTTTCTCCTGGGTTTTCTCATTGCAGGAAGCTTTCCCACCACGCCAACCTCCCCTCAGGCGCCGCCACCGCTGCAGAACCTTGATGTCTCAGCACCAGCCTCTTCGCCTCTTGCACCTGTGACCTCTGCTGCACCTCCCACCACCTTCCCTTTGCCCTCTGCTGGCGGAGCCCCTTCTGTGTTCTCCTTTGGCCCTTCATCCTTGAAGTCCTCCTCCGCTCCCGTCACCGGGGAGCCCCCTCCCTATCCCACTGGCTCTGACAGTTCCCGAGCCGCTCTGGCCTCTGGCCCCTCCTCCACCTTCTCTTTTGCTCCTCCTTCCAAAGGCTCCCTGGCCCTCCCCGCTGCGGCATCCCCCATGGCCCCAGCTGCCGCTCCCTTCGCTTTTGGATCCTCATCAGGTTTTAAGCCCACCTTGGAAAGCACACCAATGCCCACTGCCCCAAACACAGGGATGAAGCCTTCGTTCCCACCCTCAGCCTCTTCCGTGAAAGTGAACCTGAGTGAAAAGTAAGTCGCCTTGAAAGTTGGATTCTGTGGTAGAATGGGTGGAAATATTGCAAGGTAGTAAGTCCCTGAACTAGGTCACTGTGAATGGAGTCCTGAACAGACCTTTCTGAAGTAGTGCCCTGGAAATCTAACCAGTGTAAAGGCTTGCAGCTCATCTGCAGGTCCAGTCCTAAGTGTCTCTTAAAGGTGTTGTGCTTTTCTCACTGTTAGAAATGGGCACTTAAGTAGGATAAGTATTCCTTATTTAAGAAAGGCAAGGGCCCGGAGCATACATCCTGGAAACAAAGTGGGTCTTCTGTAGTTTTCCCTCCTCATAGCCACCCTGGCTCTTAACTGTTCTCTTTGCAGTCATCAAGGTGACTTGTGCGGTTAGGGATACACGAGGTGACTCTCCTGCTTGACAGTCCCCAAAGGTTTCTTGTTGCATTTCCTTTACAATTCAGACCTTTTCACATGGTGTCTGGTTTCCTACAGATCTGGTTCCAGCCAGCTTGCTCATACCTTATTTATTTACCTCTTTATCTGCCTTTTTCTGTTCTCCCCGCTACACTGAGCAGCATCTGGAGGGAGTACTCCCTTGTATCATACCCCCTTTTCCAGTCACAATGTGTGTCAAAACCATCAATTTTTTCTTTCTTTCTGTCTTTCTTTCTTTCTTTCTTTCTTTCTTTCTTTCTTTCTTTCTTTCTTTCTTTCTTTCTTTCTTTCTTTCTTTCTCTCTCTCTCTCTCCTTCCTTCCTTCCTTCCTTCCTTCCTTCCTTCCTTCCTTCCTTCCTTCCTTCCTTCCTTCTTTCTTTCTTTCTTTCTTTCTTTCTTTCTTTCTTTCTTTCTAGATTTATATATTTATTATGTATACAGCATGTATGATTGCAGACCAGAAGAGGGCACCAGATCTCATTACAGATGGTGTGGTTGCTGGGAATTGAACTCAGGACCTCTGGAAGAGCAGCCAGTGCTCTTAACATCTGAGCCATCTCTCCAGCCCAAAAACCATCAATGGTTTTAATGGTTCTCCGGGCCTTGTTGCTGGGAGGTGCTGCTGCAGCCACACCGTCCTTGCTCCTTGAAATCGGCATGTGGCCACTTTGCTCCAGCCACTACTGGGCATTCCATTTTATTGGCCCAATCATTCTTTAACATAACAGTCGTCTGCTGTTGGAATATTAGTATGTCTGCAGTTGTTGACTTGACATTCTAACTGGGCCATGGTATCCCAAAGATGGTAACCTGCTTGCTTCCCTGATGTTTTTCACACCCAGAGATGATGGTACTCAGCTTCATAGGCTAGAAAATAAATAGTTCATGCTGTGGAGAATTTGGCTTTTATTTCACACGTAGAGCCCTGGTGCACTGTCGTTGGTGCCCTGTTCCTAACGGAGCAGGTGGTAACTGCCCTCATCTGAGGGAGGAAGCAGCAAGTGTGCAGTTGGTTCTGAGGCAGCGGAGACGGGTAGTCAGCTCGTCTTGGTCTCGTTGCTCATGACCAGTGTGAGAGAGTCCTCCAGCAGGCTGTTGTGATCGATCTGCATTTCCTCTCTCAGGTTCACGGCTGTGGCCTCTGCTCCTGTTCACAGCTCCACAAGCACACCCTCTGTGCTGCCATTTTCTTCCTCCCCGAAACCAGCTGCTTCTGGACCACTCAGCCATCCCACGCCTCTGCCAGCATCGTCCAGCTCCATGACTTCAAGCGTTCCTTTGAAGTCTTCAGTCTCTCCCTCGCCATCAGGTATTCCCAGAAGCCAACAGCTTCTGTCTTCAGCTCTCCTTGCAGATGAATGGGGTTCAACGTGTTAAGAGTCCTGCTAATGTAGTGAGGTGGGGCTTTTATTTGTTTGTTTTTTTTTGTCTTTTTTTTTTCTTTTCTTTATTTATATTTTATGTATGAGTACTCTGCATGTATACTTGCACACCAGAAGAGGGCATCAGATGCTGTTATTGATGGCTGTGAGCCACCATGTGGTTTCTGGGAATTGAACCCAGGTCCTCTGGAAGAGCAACCAGTGCTCTTAACCACTGAGTCATCTCTCCAGCTTCTGTTTTGTTTTTCAAGACAGGGTTTCTCTGTCTAGCCCTGGCCATCCTGGAACTCACTCTGTAGACCAGGCTGACCTCAAACTCACAGAGATCTGCCTGCCTCTGCCTCTCAGTGCTGGGATTAAAGGCGTGCGCCACCACTTTTTTTTTTGTTCGTTTTGTTTTGTTTTGTTTTTTTACTTGCTTTAATGTTTTAATGTGCTGTAATTGTTGTGCTCTGAATTGAGAGATTCACAGTGGTTTTAGTTCTATTAGCGTTTAATTGGCTGCTCATGGATATTCAAAACCGAGTCCTCACACACAGCCTGCTCTAATGGAAGAACAATCATTGAGCTGCCCTTGGCATGACAGGAGCCGTTGGGGACTCTTCTGCTTACTGCTCCTAAGACTCTACATACATTTTCTCTATCAGCTGCTCTAAGCAAGTGATGAAGTGCAAACCATCACAGACAGGATGTAACAAGTGCACCTGCCCTCCCCTCCCCTTCCTGTCACACGTACACATTGGCTGTAAATACTGTGGTCTCCACCAGGGTTCAGTGCTTCCAGACATATTTTTTATGTGTGTTTGCTTATCTCTTTCTTCCTTTTATGTAAAAATTTGAAAACATTTGGGAGTTAATTGCAGGCAGTGTGAAACAGTTGACCCCTAGATACATGAGTTCTCATCTCCTAAAAGCCAAGGCTATTACACTCCAATTAACAACAGTCAAATATAGAGTCCATGTCAATTTGAGACCAGTGGTCTCAATTAAAGTTCATGCACTGAATTCTGTTCTTCTGCATAGTCTCAGTTCATTTCTTTAGCATTTATGAGAAAGTCAGCTCAGTGGTTTGGGGACCATCACTGTTTGGATTTGATTATTTGCACATGATAGGATTCAGGTTAAAGATTTGGAGAGCATAGGTGTTATGCATCACCATGCATGCTTTTATTCAGTCTGACTGCAGAGTGTGTTTGAGTTTGGGCTTGGGAGGGGTGTTTGCTAGGTATATTTTATTTATATGCATGTATCTGCATGTGAGTGCAGTTACTGGAGAGGCCAGAGGTGTCTAATACCAAGGAGTTGGAGTTACAGGCAGTTGTAAACCACCTGAAGTGGACACTGGGAACCAAAGTTGGGTTCTCTGTAAGAGCAGTGTTCACTCTTAATTACTGAACCATCTCTGTGTTTCCCAATGCAGTTTTTGTTTTGTTTTGTTTTGTTTTTTTGGCTTTTCGAGACAGGGTTTCTCTGTGTAGTTTTGGTTGCCTGTCCTGGATCTCACTCTGTAGACCAGGCTGGCCTTGAACTCACAGAGATCCGCCTGGTTCTGCCTCCTGAGTGCTGGGATTAAAGGCATGCGCCACCACCGCTTGGCCGGTATTTTGTTTTATTTTGAAGGCAGGATTTCACTATGTAGTCCTGGGTGGTCTTGAACTCACAGATCTGATTGGCTTGCCTTTGTCTCCTGAGTGTTGGGATTAAAGATGGGAATTACCATACCTGGCCTTGGGTAGCCAATTAAATTTGAATGCCTGGAATAATTTTATTTAGGGAAATACCAAACAGATATGAATGAGGAAATTTCTGAGAAAGGGAAGCTTCTTTCCTTTTGAAGTTTGCCAAAGTCACCTCACTACACCATCTTGTCAGCCATTTTTGTGTTTTTGAGACAAGTCTCAAATGTGACCTAACCTTGCCTATACTTGATATGTAGCCTAAAGTGACCTTGAACTCAGAATTTTCCCTTCCTGAGCCTCCTAGTGCTAGGATTCTAGGTGTGCATCAGCAGACCATTTGGTCATCGTTCTCTAATACAGTCGTAGAAGTGGAGCCAGGGACAGTGTGTAACTCTTTCTTAGATCTGGGGAAAGTTTGTGGTGACGGAAGTAACAGGAATAAGTGTCTGTTAGAACTTACTTCTTTGGTCATTTATGCTAGCAGGCCGATCTACTCCGACTATTCCAAGTTCAGTGTCCTCCATGGTGCAGAAATCACCCAGGATAAACCCTCCAGTGGCAAAGTCAGGCTCTCCTCAGGTACGTTTAAATTCTCTTAATACAATTGCACGTTAATAAAGATGGCCTTTAAAATTTAGACATGGGGCCGGGCGGTGGTGGCGCACGCCTTTAATCCCAGCACTCGGGAGGCAGAGCCAGGCGGATCTCTGTGAGTTCGAGGCCAGCCTGG